GGGGGGGGGGAAACGGGGCAAAAAAACTAATAATATATAGCACATGCTGACCCTATCCCAAAACATTTATCACAACCGGGTTACTGCTGCATTGTGGGGTTCACTGTCCACTGCTCAGAAGGCAGTGAGGGGGTGACTCTGAAGACATACCTTTTCAAGACAATGAGCCACGGTATTAGATTCTCCAGAGAAATAAGCAATAGGATGTAAATACCCAGATGGATGGAGTAATTAAGGAAATTACAGTAAAACGGTGGAGTCTGACATGTCAGAAATCTCCAGGCCAGGTCAGCAGACTGGAGTTTAGTAACAAGGTAATTTCTAGTTCTGAGTTCTATAAACCAGCAGGCCTGAAACGTGGGAGGATTTTATGCTGCAGTCTTTAGGACCCACAGTGCTGTTCCTACTCTTCAAGCTTCCTTCCCTCCCTGCCAACTTGACACTCATTGTCTGTCTTTGTCTCCCTAGACCACTAGCCAATTGAAATCACTTAGTGTGTGGCATTTTCACAGTCTTACCAGGCTGGCCTGGAACTCACAGAGATTGGCCTGGCTCTGCCTCCCAAGTGCTGGAATCAAAGGTGTGGGCCACAGTCTTCTTTTACATGTTAATACTTTTATTTATTTTTGAGAAAGGGTTTCTCTGTGTAACAGTCTTGGCCGCCCTGGAACTCACTCGGTAGCCCAGGCTGGCCTCGAACTCACAGAGATCCGCCTGGCTCTGCCTCCCAAGTGCTGGGACTAAAGGCGTGCGCCACCTCTAGAGGCAGCTAGCTTCTTTTTAACACGGCACAGGACCCCACTGTCTCGAGGTACTGGTTTATCCATTTGTTTACTTTGTAGTTTCGAAGCTCTTCGAACGCTCTGAACACTGAACCACGGGCTTCCAGGGTTTCCAAAGCTGTTCTGCATCGTGCTGACTCGGCATTCTATTTTCAAATCACTTTACTGCCCTCTCACTTGGCCTAAGTTTACACAGCTCATAAGAGATGCGCTATTTATTAAATGCCTGAATCAGAGAAATAAGATCTGACTAGCTGGTGCCAGGTATGGATCAAGATCACTGTCTTCATGTTATTTAACCATAATCTACTGATTATCACGATTTTTAAAAAGAACACATGTAAACACATTTATTACATATATTTGTCACAAAAAAAAAATCACAAAAGGTAACAAAAAAGTAGGCTTACATTACAGTTTGTGACGTTAACTGTGTTCAAACACATTTTTCATATTTTTTCAGCATATAGTACTCTGGTTATATACATTTTAAGCAGATAAAAGAAGGCTTGAAACTAGTAAAAAATGTTAATTTAATTCATATTCAGAAACTTGTGAAATAAAAAGTCATGATGAAGAAATAATTACGAAAAGTCGTACAATTATCGAAGGACCAGGACATTGTTTTCCCTTTATAAAAGTATCCCAATAAAACAAAATAAAAACTATGGAAAACACAAAAGTCAAATTAGAGATTTGGTTTTAGTACCTTCCCTGAGTTTCTTTTTAAAACATCAAATTTAAATAAGGCCATTTTAAAACTGACCTAAAGGCTTACCGTCCATGCTGCCATGGGTAATGTGCTCACCATAAGAGGCGACACCCACTGAAATGGCCCCAGGGCTGTAACATGCCAATCTGCCTGCCTCTGTCACAGGACCACTTCAGCCACTGGAGCACATGACCTTAAAGAACTACCATCTTAACTTGACCTGCCATTACGTAACACGAGACTATATCCCAAATGCAGACTAACAATTTCAGTTATTAATAAATACTATACCTCTAAAGGGGTTTGGAGACTATACAGCAAATTTTGGCAATAATATAGAAATAATTATTTCTGCATGTGAACAATCTTACACAAACAGGAGTTTGTAAGCAAATCACCTCGATCCTCTAAGTCTGCATCCTGAAAAAAACTTCAAAACACTCACTCACTAGACCTAACGAAACAAAGTAGAAAAGACATGACTATGAGCTGACACCTGGGTACAGGCAATCGAATTCCCAAAACAGTAGCTGTCTCCTTAGCCATTAAACAAAATCGGCCCTCACTAGGTTTCCATTTGCTCAATTTCAATCATCTGTATATATGTATGGGTATGCATGGCTGCAAAGATCAAACACTCAATTCAAACAGCCAAGTCTAATCAAATGAAGAATAAAGGCTTACTTGGAATTAAATTTTTGTTTTCTTTCCAACATACTAAGTAATTTGCTAGGCTTGTATTGTTAGACACTAAATATCATTGATCACATCTTCTAGTCAAGTGTAGGAACAAAAAAGGCTTCAGATAGATATATTTTTCAGTCATTCTGGTGCATTCCAAAGAGAGGTGGCAACGGTCTGCAAACCTGTACATTTCCCTCCATCATAATGAAACTGCAAACTAATTTAGCAAAAGCTAATGACCATGCGCTGTTAAAATGTAGGGGTAAAATGATAGTTCTAGACATGTATTCGCATTCCTACTGTGTACTGGATGCATGAATGACTCATTAAATAAATGGAGTTGCGAGGCACAGAAAGGTACCTTTTCTTTTTTTCTTTTGGCTTTTCAAGACAGGGTTTCTCTGTGTAGTTTTGGTACCTGTCCTGGATCTCACTCTGTAGACCAGGCTGGCCTCGAACTCACAGAGATCAGAGATCCGCCTGGCTCTACCTCGTGAGTGCTGGGATCAAAGGTGTGCGCCACCACCGCCCGGCTAGAAAGACACTGTTTATCTTGAGGCAGAAAGCCCAGGCTGGCCTTGAACTCAAGAATCCATGTCTTGGCTTCCCAAGTAGCTTTTTTTTTTTTTTTTAAGTTTTCTATTGGTCCCCAGAACAACAAATATGTGTGTGTGTGTGTGTGTGTGTGTGTGTGTGTGTGTGTGTGTGTGTGTGTGTTGGGGGTGGAGGTGGAGGGGAATCTAAGAGCTAGGCCATAACTACAGGTTTGACTGTACAGATTAGATCCCTATGGAGCACAGTGAATTGAAATTTTCCATGAAACATTATAAAGGCCCATGTCCTGTGTGCATTACAGATCCTTAATCTAACCTCTTGCAAACCCTTCAAGCACGGGCCTGGGAAATACCAGTAGCCTCCTGTCTTCTCCTAGGTGAAAAGTCAATTCTTGTATAAAAAGAATCCCTACATGTTGGGTTACATGTAATCATCATGGTTTAATTATAGCAATTTAGTAACCTCAGAAATCCTCAAAGCCTATGAAGGTATATAAGCATGTGGCATCTACTTATATTGTAACAATTGAGTAACAGATAGTTTGTAAACCACTTCTCCATCACTTTCAGTCTCCAGGAACTCAGTCCAGGCAGCTACCATTCCAGGTCCACAGGGTACTGCCCAGTGAGGCAAGCCGTACAGTGTCCCGTCTTCTCAAAACATTCCAGACCATTTCCATTGGTTTGAATTGTAATGTCACGTTTTTTCACTTTCTGCTTCTTGCATTTTATCTCTTGTTGCACAGATGAAACCAGTCCTTCCACTGACAGGTATATAACACTGTTGGCTCCTGAGGAGGAAAGGGAAATGTCAGGAGATTTTTCTGTAGAAGGGAAAACATGCTTTACCACAGCACAGCTACAGAAAGCATCATTTAATGAAAATTCTCCTTTAGCCTTTCTAAAACGGAAGCTGGATGTGATGACTTATAACCTGTAATCCCAGTGTCTTGGAAAGCCGAGGCAGGATGACCACAAGTTCAAGCCAACCAGGACAAGTCAAACCTTTAAAAGGGAGGGAAAAACTGGGGGATGAGGCCTGGGGTTAGAAATGCGTGTTTAGAATACACAAGTCCCTGGATTTTTGAACGGACAAATCCTGTGTGTGTGTGTGTGTGTGTGTGTGTGTGCGCGCGTGCGTGCGTGCGTGCGTGTGTGTGTGTGTGTGTGTGTGTCCGTCCATGTGTGTAGGGGGAGTTTTCTGATTGTGTGTAGTTATTCTAAGTGATGAAACACTTTCTCTCTCTTCTGATATTGCTTTTACCTACATCTCTAACATAAAAAGTGCTCCAACACATCTACTTTTTAGAATAGTGTTCCATGTCTGCTTAACAAATAATAATGGTAATAATCTTGTTTTATTTCAGGGTTTCACATTATTTCAACGGTTCAGCAAATACACACATACATATGTACATGTACAAACATGTCACATATACATACATACATACATACATACATACATACATAGAAAACATAGTAAAATTAAAATTGGGAACGTAGGTAAAAAGCGTGGAAGTTGATTATACTGCCTGGCTCCTTTCATGTAGCTTTGGGACTTTAACCATAAGGACACACACTTCAGTAACACACAAAGCTAGCCTACACTGTGTATAAGTAGAAACAATGGCGGCAAAGTGAGAATTCTAAACAATGGAATTCTGGGAAGGACAAGCTTATGAGGGAGAACATCACAGGACCTTACGAATAAGGCAGTATCTCCACTTGAGTATGAACGTTAGATTTTTCTTTCTGAGTATGGATTTCCAAACTGGGAAAGGTAAAAACAATGGAATAAAGTATGTAAAAATATTTTGAAGAAACTCACTACACATGATTTTGTATGTGTACATATAAAAATAAACTGTTTTATACACTGGATAGTTTGATATTAGGTAATATGGTTTTCTAAACAATTTCCGTAGATTATATAACATGCCACGGTGTTTCCAAACATTTTATTCTGTATAGGGAACTAAAGTTTTAGTGTGAAAACCTGAAACATCTAAATTCCATCCCCGTCTTCCTTTCGCAGCTTCCCCTATGGTCAGAAGCTCGATTTTCAGTATTTGCTGAAGTTTCTGGTTCTTTATTAAACAGAATAACAACTTTCTTTCCACATTTTGCACCAACTTCAAGTTCACAGGCACATGGTCTACACGTTATGTGTAAGAGTCCTTCACTGTCTTTGTTAGTGTACTTCCTATTGACAGTGAGTGGTGTGTATCTGCTGTATTTTACACGCCACTCCACACTTCCTAGGCTGTGACAGTAGTTTGTATTTTATATGCCACTCCAGAACTTTGCAGTGCTGATATGCTCCATCATGAAGTTTTGCATTAACTGAACACTTCTGAGGCCATGATGCCTTCCTGGGAATCCACCCCAAATCACAAGCACCTTGAGTTGGTGCCACCTTTATGTTACAGGTCCCACTCTGTAGCCCTGGCTGGCGGCTTGGGATTACCTTTGTAGACCAGGCTGGCTTTGAGCTAAGAGAGGTCGGCTGTCCCTGCCTCCACTGTTGGGATTAAAGGCATGTACTACCACACAAAGCGGGAACTGAAATCTTTATATTATTTCTAAAAGACATAACTTTTGGTGCTACTGTGAATGGTTTTTCTCCCAATGTATATGTGTGCAAGCACATGTGTGTACATGTTTCAGCTGTAGAGGCCCAAGGTTAAGGGTCTCAGAGTCACGGATTCCATTAGTCTAGGAGGTCAGCTTATCCACATGCCGAGTCTGGAATTACAGAGGTACCAATACCTACCCAGCATTTATGAACTCAACTGTGGTCCCCATAACTCATGGTGCAGTTATATAATATAATGATGCTGAGCCATCTCCCCAGCACTCAATGTATCTTCTAACTATTTGCTGCTTTACACAAAAGTACACTTGGAATTTAAAACAAACCAACAATTAAAATCTACAGAAAATTTATTACCTACCGAGGTATTCTGCAAGACGTTCAAATTCTGGCTTGTTGGCTATCAGCTCTTCTTTTGTGGGTATGTTGATTCCCATGAAGCAAGGGTATTTGATTGGTGGTGAAGCGACACGAATGTGCACCTTAGAAAGAAATCATCACTTAAACTCAGTAATATTAATTATACATTTTTCCCACTGTGAAAACTGTCTCACTGAACATTCAATCAACAACATGAGCAACAAGGTAAACCACAGAAATCATTTCATTGAGTAGGTAATTTTTTTCTTTCTTAAAAAAAAATGATTAGATCCATTCATTTTATATTAGGTGTGAGGGTTTTGCCTCCATGTGTGTCTGAGCACCATATACATGCTTCATGCTCAGATCTCAGAAGAGGGTATCAGATCTCCCTGGAACTGGAGTTAGGAACGGTTGTGAATCACCATGTGGGTGCTGGGAATCTAAGCTGGCGCTTCTGCAAGAGCAACCAGTGCTTGTAACCACTGAGCCATCTCTCCAGCCCATACATTTTTTTTCTTAATGAGTTATTTTCATTCTCCTTATCTTTTACTTCCTATTTAATGACTATACATTCCTAGCTACTTTTGTTTTAATACCTAAGTGACAATTTGCTGATCTTTTATTTTACCCTATTAAAAAGATATAACCTACCAGGTTATAATGAAAATCTTACTAATCATAACAGGGCTCCTTTTGTCTACTATTGTTTTTGACCTTTCTGTTAGGTTCATGTACATAGTTTTATAACCAGCAAGCATCCACATGTTCTTTTTAATCTTAGATCTTGTAAGAACAATCTGCCTGTCTTATATAATCTTCACACAGATTTAAATGGTCAGGACACATTTCATTACACCAGCATGTCACTTTATATATTTAATCCATTTGCAAGTTATGTGTAGGTGTGATATAAGTGAGCAGTGGTTATCCAAACTGAAGAGCATTTTGTGAAGGGCAAGCATTACATACTCCGCAAACCACACTATGAACAGATCTGCCGCCGTCCAGGCTTGTGCCTATCACAGAGCACAGCCAAGCCTATTAATTGTAACATGAAGGGCCTTAGGAGTTTTGAATAGTAAAGTCACCAGCTATATTGCCTCTTAGTACAAGTCTGCTCACCCTTTGATGCATCAGAGCTGGGCATGCTTTCGCTCTCTCTAAAAAGGTCTAGATGGCAGGGTCTTCAGTTCTAAGGCTGAAGTCTGCCTGCTGCGGCCACCTCCATCAGTTATCCTCTTTGAACTTCTGGATAACTTGCTGCACTCTGGACACCAACATCTGGTGCTTCACCCTACACTTACATGATATGGAGAATTTTTCCCCTGAACTTCACAAGACCATCTCCAATACCTTCTATTTTCCTTCTGTAGTGTGCTCACGGCTCTCAGTCTCTGAAGAATGGGAGAGCTAGGGCCTAATTTCGGAACTGGCTTTTTTTGCTCAAGAGAATGTTGAGTTGGGCGTGATGGCACACTGTAATCCCAGCACTCGGGAGGCAGAGGCAGGCGGATTTCTAAGTGAGGAGTTTTTCATCCGATCACTCAAACAGTTCAAGGCCACTGCAATTTATTTACAGCCAGTGTCCACCACTGTGTTTTAGGGAGTAGAGAGGCCAAAGGGAAGGGAACAGGGAAATGGCTGGTGGGAACAAACAAGCTTCTTGATTAAGTCTGGCATCAATTTTAAAAGGCATAGTTCAGGGTGACTCAAAAACAATTTTAATAACCTTCAATTTGTAAAAACTGCAGTATATAAAGTTCAATAAAGTGAAGTATATGAAAACAAGGTATGCCCATAACATGCATCCAAGTATTTAACACAGCACAAATAGATCCATGCTTAGCAATTTTTAGAAAGTTCACTGTTTTACAGACGACACAATGATACAAAAATGATTTAATGGGTTAAATTTATTGTATTAGGAATTGGTTCTATATTTTCAAACAGAGAAAGCAACCAATACTCTTGATTGTTTTTTGTTGTTGTTCTGTTTTTGTTAAGATTTAAAAAAAAAGGGGGGGGGGAGCTGGAGAGATGGCTCAGTGGTTAAGAGCACTGGCTGCTCTTGCAGAGGTCCTGAGTTCAATTCCTAGCAACCACATGGTGGCTCACAACCATCCGTAATGAGATCTGGTGCCCTCTTCTGGCCTTCAGGGATACATGCACACAGAACACTGTATACATAATAAATAAATAAATCTTACAAAAAAAATTTTTTTTAAATATAAAAAAAAGTGATATTTCTCGTCTGTTTGGCTTTTTAATCTATTAAGGATTAAACTTTGTAGAGTGTAAGAACAGTTAACATATGGTCTCCACATTGCTGCCCCGATATCACAAAGCAATCCGATATGCAAAGTTAAATCACACTGGACTATCACTTGGATACAGTAACTCTGATGCCAACATCAAACAGTTAGTTCTTGGTGCTTCGGCGCATGTTTTAACATTACTTACCTCTTTTGCCCCGGATTCTTTGAGGAGCTTTATGATAGGTGAGATAGTATTGCCTCTCACAATTGAATCGTCGATGAGAACAATTCTTTTGCCTATAAAGTTGTCAGACAACACGCCAAATTTTTTTGCAACACCAAGTTGTCTTAACCTCATGTTTGGCTGAATGAAGGTTCTTCCCACATAGCGGTTTTTACACAGCACCTCCACATATGGCAGTCCACACTGGCAGAGGAAAAATAAATGCAGTTAGTGGCCATACTGGGCTAAGAAGAAGCCTCTGAGGGACAGGAGGCATTCATCCATTCCTCAAGGCAGCCATCTCTATAACACATGCACACTACTTCATTTAGAAGCTAAGCGAGGACGCTCAGCTCCACCACTAAATTCTCTATATTCACGATGCCATCTTGTTTTGGGAGAAGTGTCTCACTATGTTGCCTAGGCCGGCCTCCAGCTCACAGCAGGGTTTCTGCGTCAGCTGCTCTGTACTGGGACTGCAGGCCTATGCAACCACATGCAGCTCCTTTTAAAAAAAAAAAAAAAAAAAAAAAAAAAAAAAAAAAAAAAAAAAAAAAAAAAAAAAAAAGTTTACAAAGATGAGTAAAGATGGGCACATCACCAAAGAGAAGTGAGACAACCTGAATGAGTGTGTATTGTGTGTGTGTGTGTGTGTGTGTGTGTGTGTGTGTGTGTGTGTGTGTGTGTCTGATGAAAACAGAAAGGGGACCAGGAGAGAGGAAGAAGAGGTCATAAGGGAAGGGGGAAACAAAGGGTAACGGACGGAATGCATGTGATAGCAAAGCACAAAGGAGAACTACTGGAGGGCAAGCCAGAGACCACGAAGGAAAAGAGGAAAGGCCGTGGGGAATGGATGAGTAAGAACAGTGGAGTTCAAGTGTATGAAACATCACAGTGAAACTCATTACTCTGTATGCTGTTAAAAATTAAAAATGAGGGCCAATATTCTAATCTTGGGTGATTAAAAACTACTAGCTAATTGTGTGTGCGCATGAGCACATACAGGCATATGCACACCAGAGCTTTTATGGAGGTCAAGGGACAACTCACTGAGTCTTTGGTGATTAAAAACTACTTATTATGTATATGCAAGAGAACGTACAGGCATATGCACTCGCTTTTTTTTTTTCCCTAAAGAGGTCCCAGTGGTAGAATATTACTTTAAGGTGTGTTACTTTCTTTTAAATATTTATTTATTCATTTATTTATTTATTATGCATAGTGTTCTACTTGCATCCCTGCAGGCCAGAAGAGGGCACCAGATCTCATTACAGATAGTTATAAACCATCATGAGGGTGCTGGGAATCGAACTCAGGACCTCTGGAAGAACAGCCAGTGCTCTTAACCTCTGAGCCATCTCACCAGCCCCCACACCAGAGCTTTTATGGAGGTCAAGGACAACTCACTTGAGTCTTGGGTGATTAAAAACTACTAATTGTGTGTGTGCATGAGCACGTACACGCATATGCACAGCAGGGCTTTTATGGAGGTCAAGCGACGACTCACAGTTCTCTCCTTCCACCATGTGGGTCCTGGGAATCAAACTCATGTGATCAGCCTTGGCAGCAAAAGCCTCCACCCACCACGCCACTTCTCAGCCCACTTTTTTTTTTTTTAAAGTTTTTATTTTTTTTTTAAAAGATTTATTTGTTTAAGTATGTGAGTGTTGTATCTGCATGTACACCTTTATGCCAGAAGAAGACATCAGATCCCACTGTAGATAGTTAGGAGCTTTGATTGTGGTTCTTTGATAGGTGGTTGCTGGGAATTGAACTCAGGGCTTCTGGAAGAGCAGCCAGTGCTTTTAACCTTTGAGCCATCTCTCCAGCCCCCTCAGCCCACTTTTTGTGGAAAGAAATGGCTAATAATTCTTGCACAGGAATCAACATTAGACCCCAACCTTCCCTTTTTATAGTAAGTTGGTGCATTTCCCCCTTTGTGGTCCACATTTATTTCACTGCCAGAAGACCAACTCACGGAATAGTAATTAAAAGTGAATACCTTTGCTGCGTAGCCGAGAGCAGCAGGCGTGGCCGATTCTGGAACCGTGCTCACCAAGTCTGCCTCCACGGGCGCTTCGATCGCCAGCTGCTGGCCACAGCGGTATCTGACTGTATAGACCATTTGGTCTGGAATGTTTGGAAAAGAAACAAATTGTCTTAACTGAGAATAAGATCGCTATTCTAAAAAGCTGGGGCTAAGATTGTACAGACTGGACAGAAAAGGAAAAGCAAACGTGTACAGAAACAACTGTGTGGTATTTATGAAATTTCACCTTAATATGTATTTGAAAATTATAACCTTTATTACTGAGAGAAACACAGAAGCTAAGAGTGGAAAAGAAGGGCAATAATGATTTGTAGCTCAGTAACATATTCACAGCATTCAGCCACATGCCTCCCAAGAGCCACATCAGCCTTTGAGCCAAGAACTGTCTTGTTTCAATGAGACGAATGAAGATTTTTACAAACAGTCAAAGAAAAGAAGTGTACTTACCTTCAAATATACTATCTGGTCTTGCAAAATAAACATATTCAAAGATACAAAAAGCCACGGGGTCTCCTTCAGACCTTGGAATTATGTCAAGAGTTCTGATACCATGTCTGGATATTTCTACAATTTCTCCAGGCTTGACCTCATGGCAATATCTTCAAAGACACAAACAGAGAGAAGATACCCGTGAAACCTGTCATTTTATACAATGAGTATGCGCTAGTTTTTAAAAGGCAAAAGAAAACTCGGTAACTCTGCTGTTCCTATGCACATTTTGCAAAATTTTAGTAACAAGGGCTTTAATATTTTATTGACTTTTTTTTTTTAAATAAAGGAGCCAGTAAGTACTCTCATTCATGTGCCCACTGTCCAATCTTTACGGTGTATACAGTATAATCTATATTATCACTTCACCCTGAAAGTTACTGCGTGGTTTTTGAGGAAGAGGAGCAGAGAGACTATTTTAATTAATTCTTTTTTTTTTTTGGAGACAGGGTTTCTCTGTGTTGCCCTGACTGTCTTGGAACTCACTCTGTAGACCAGGCTGGCCTTGAACTCAGAGATCTGCCTGCCTCTGCCTCCCAAGCGCTGGGATTAAAGGCGTGCACCACCATGCCTGGCTTACTTAGTTCTTTTTTTTTTAAATTTTTATTATTATTATTATTATTATTATTATTATTATTATTATTATTTTGTTTTACTTATTTCTTAATAGCATGACTTAAAGAGCTGGAATCGTTCAGTGGGGTGAGGACACCTGCTTCCACGCCCGAGGATTGATTGCTGGAGCCCAGACGGTAGAAGGAAAGAGCTGACTCTCACAAGCTGTCCTCTGACCTCTCCACGGGTGCCCTTCGCAACACAATAAACAAACGCAAAACAAACAAACAAACGACCCTCCCCAGTCTGCTCCCCAGGTGCTGGGGTCCCTACAGCAGCCGCCAAGCTTTCACTTGGGTGCTGGGGATCCCAACTCAGGTCTGCACGCTCAAGCAGCGGACACTTTGCCCACTGAACCTTCTGCCCAGCCCAAGTCCCAACTCTGTACAGCCAGTGTTTGGCCAGCGGGATGGCTCAGTGGGTAGAGATGCCTGTTACTAGGCCTAAAGACCCGGGTTTGATCTCTAGAACCCACAAGGAGGGCAAACGGAACTGAGTCCTGTATATGGTCTTCAGATCCCCACACAAATAAATAAATAAATACATGTCATGATGGAAATAAACAAACTAAATTGTGGGAACTAGACACTGTGTCTCAACCTGCATTCCCAGCTCTCATGGGCTCCAGGGTGGCCTGAGTTAGTGTGAGACCTGGAATCAAAAACAAACACATGCACACTAAAAAAAGAAATCAAGCGAGACTTGTGGCATTTTGAAAGAGTATTTTCAGAGCCAAAAGGTAGTATTGGTACATTAAAGTCAGTACAACTGCTACGCACACTATTCACAAATGCTTTCTTATGGCAAGAAAATAGGTCATGGAAACAAAAAATATCCATCACCTCCCCACCAGCCAGTTCTGGACAGATTTTAGGTATCTGTCACCATGCCTGAATGAAAGAGTTCTGGCTCCTTCCTCTCCCTCTTCCCCTTGTCTCATCTGTTTTTTTGTTTATTGGGGAGGGAGGACGGGGTATCTATACATATAACTCAGGTTCTTCTTAAATTTATAATCATTCTGCCTCAGACTTTTCAAAGCCAGAACTACAGGCATGTATCATCAAATTTGGCAGAAAAAGTTTCTCATGAATGCATAAAAGAAAAAAAAATGATTAATAGGCTACAACTTACCTTGCACCAATAGATAAAAAGCTGCAAGATTCTGAAGACACCACCCATCCTTCAGTTTCTGAAGACTTTTTCTCTATAAATCACAAGACAATCAATTTAGTAAACAGGTTTGGGAAATTCTTTGTTTGTTTTGTGTTTGGTTTTTGTCTGGAGTCCCGGGGATAGAAGCCAGGAGCCTAGCACAGACGAGGCAAGCACTGTATCAATCAGCTACATCCCCAGTCCCCACAGGGAGGGTTTTTAAAGAGGCTTTTGGGCCCTTGAGACCGGCTCACTGGACAAGGGGGATTTTGTCAAATCTGACAACTTGGGAGGGGACCATGTGGCAGAGGAGATCAGACTCCCTTGCTTGAGGTCTTCTGACCTCCGTATACCCCATCATTCATGTGCATTCAAACACAAAGATGTAAAATCATTTTTTAAAAAGAGTTAAAAAAAAAAAAAAGAGACAGGCTATTTTGTGAGAATAACAAAACATCCAATAGATAAAAACTGCTATTATCATCACATTAAAAGCAGGTATTCTACACAACTTAGGTAAAAAAGACAATAAATAATCCAAGATTCCTTCTAGCATTATGATATCATAGTTTGAACAAGATAGATGATTGGTTGTAAAGAAAAATCACTGCAGAAAAAAAAAAGGTTAGTTAGGCAAAAGATATGAACTGGCAACTCAAAAAGACCAAAAGAGAAAGGAATATAGTATTAAATACACTGAAAAGTCAGACAAAGCCAAAGAAAAAGACCTTCAAAACTAAGGGTAGGAGCTAGCGAGACGGTTCAGGGAGTACAGTGCCCGCTCTGCAGACAGGAGGGACTGAAATCAGTTCAAAGCTGAGCATGCCAGTAGTCACCTGTAACCCCTCTGGGAGAGACCCACACAACTCACTGGCCAGCCACCCTAGCTCAAAATGGTGAGCTCCAGTTTCAGTGAGATCCTGTTTCACAAAGTAAAGTAGAAAGCAACAGAAGACCATAGTTGAAGTTGACCTCTGGCCAACTTCATACGTGTGTACACCTACCTCCACCCCATATACACATTTTTTTTTTTTAGAAATATCAACAGCTAGGGTTACAGTGCTTGCTGTGAAATCATGAGGACCAGAGTTCAAATCCCAGCAGGCACACAATAAGCCTGACTTCCTGCACATACCTATAACTCTAACTAAGGCTAGGCTTCCAGAAATCTCCAAGTTCAGGGAAAGACCCTGCTTCACAGGAACGGGTCGAGAGTGACAGAAGATGACACCAGACACCCTCTTCTGGCCTCCAAAAACAGCACAGGAGCACACACCCACATACAAAGTATGTACATTCACATAAATTTAAAAAAACAAAGTGAATAAAAAGATACGTGTTTTCTTTGCGCCCTCTCTTCCTGTCCACAAGCTTCCCGTAACCATAGATTTGGGGAGCTCAGAAAAGAAAAAGGGGAGAAAGGGGAAGGATTTTGAGACTCGCCAACAGAAACAATGATTTTGAAAAGCATCATGAATATCAAATTCCTACTGACCTTTGTCATTTATATCAGAAACTGGAATAAGACGACCAATGCACAGAGGGCGATTTCCGTACGGATCCCTCACTGCATAAATGACATCCCTGTGCATTATAAGCAGAGAGTACGCCGTGGGCGCTTCCTTCATTAAGTTCTTGATTCTGGAATTACAAGTCACTGAATGAATCACTCTGGCCATAAACACGCACAAGGAAAGCTCCTGTCGCCGGAGCTGCAAGCATAGGCTAGTTATACAGTTACCTTGCTACCCAGTCTGGGGTATCGTCTCGTTCCTGAGGCGGGGTATACGCCAGTAACTGAGTAATCATTTCACTATCAGAGGAGGTGGAAAGCCCAATACCATGGCGCAGAAGCTACGGGAGAGAGAAGTTTCCTCATTAGACCATTAGATGCTCTGCCTCTTGTCCAACAGCACACAGTAACAGAAGCCAGGCGTTACAGATACTGAGTTACAACCCACCCCCCACTAACTGCACGTGCTGTGCGTGTATACTCGCGACCGCGGACCGCTGCTGGGGGGCAACGGGCAGTCTCCAGAGCTAGGCAGAAAAGAACTGCTTTAGCAGATAGATAGCAAACCTTAATTAAGTCAGAGCGTAAGCAGAAAAACCCTTTTCTACGACCCTCCATAGTCCTGGTAAGTAGGGCATCCCTCCTTCCAAAGAGTAGCAAAATGCACCAATGACTCTCACACCCAGTGTGTTGGTGGCATCAATGAATAGCCATACTTCTGACCGCTGACAGGAATCAACATTTTAAATGACATTTTAATGTAGGAGACATTAAACACTGGAGACATTGGTTGAGTGTACTTTATCACCATGAAAGTCTGAACAGGACTGACCCAGAGGCTGCACCGCAAACATGGACAGAATAATTTAAGTGGATACTAAAAATCATTTTCAGCAACCAGCTCAATGTGTAAAGTTGAACCTAATACCTAGATAAGGGGCCATGTCTGGAAACAATGAGCTATGTATTGTTTACAACTGAATTCTTGGTGATGACTATTTCTAAGCAGTCGACTTTGGTAATTTACTTCATATTTAGACTTTTGTGATTGTCTACATTTGTGGACAGAAATGTGTATCAGGGCCACGACAACGCCACTGCTCAGGGAGAGGGCACAGCAGAGCGGCGGGAGCTTCCTAAAGCTAAAACACAAAACAGACGATGAGTAACGACGAAGCCTGGGCCCTAGATAGTTTAAATCCCCAATTCACCATCGTTCAGTCTCTGTGACTACTTATCTATCGTACGTGGAACATCAGCTCTAAAAATGCTAAACAAAACGTGCACGTACGTGTGTATGTGCATGTGTGTGGACATGAATGCATGCTGTGACTAACCAGCGCCTGGTCCTGAGGTTATCAAATGAGCATCACTAGAATCTAATGAACTGAAGAAAGCAGAGGACAGTACATGAATGGTATAAATAGATCAAAAGGAGCTTCCAGGAATATAAAGATGCCGTGTAATCAGCAACAAACAGAGGAAACAATCACGCAGAGACAGAAACTGGACATCATTAAGAGAGGAAGCTCCCGGTGTGCCCTGGACTGGCTGCCTGAGTGAGCACTCTGCCCCGACTACTGGATTTTAGCTTTCTGTGGTTTGTTTCCAATTTATGATTTTCTCATATTTATCATCTTCAAGTTTATACTCATTTTCATCACATGCCTTCTTTTTTTTTTTTTTTTGTCACATGCCTTCTTATGCTTCAAGAATATAAAGAGTATTTCCTGATCCAAAAACCCCAAAATGCTCTAAACTTTGAACCTTTTTAAGTTTCCACACGGCTCTGAAGGGGAATCAGATCATGAGGCCCCAGCCCTCACTGAGGCTACCTGCCTCCCTGTTGCTCATGAAGAGCAGCAACTTCCTTGTAATCAATTATTTATTTCTTTAGATAGAGGAAACTGTCAGGAACTGGACAGTCAGCCTCATGATTGACAGCTGTCAGCCCCTTCCTGAGACTGGTCAGTGCAGCGGTTACCCAAGGGCTACCTTGTATTTGCCTGAGGATAGGAGAAACAGAAGCCAGAAACGGGCTCTGTAGCTGCTACTGTTATCTCGGTGGCCCCCAGATATGGCAGGGCTGTGAGAAACACTCTGTGCCCTGATAGGCAGGGCCCGGTGTTTCCTGGGAAAGCTGATGGCCACAACTTCAGCTTTTACCAAATTCAGGAAAATCCTGAGAGCTGCCAAATAAATGGGTCAGGACAATTGCAGGGAGACTCAGACCAACCGTGGACACCCGTAGAGACTTATTTCAGTGGGGGAAAAAGGGGTACACTTCAATTGCCAAGAACCCTCAAGAGTTACAATGGCCATGATAGCTTCAGACAACCTTTATACAATCTAGCCTGCAGCCATCCAGATAACCTCCAGACCTCCTCACAGCTGTCTTCAGCCCCGCAGGGGCAGTACCTCTCTGCACCAAGTCAGCTAGTCAACATAAATAAGCAAGGCTGCTCTCAGGCCCTGGGCATCCGTTTGGGACAGTTCCTTCCTGTGTACGGCCTCTGGGCCGCAGCACCGCCAATTTGATTAGCTAGCCCATCTGATTAGCTTCGCTGCCTACTTAAGGTCTTTCTGTGTGGGTCCAGTAGGCTGGGCTGGTTGTACAGGGAACAGGGGGTCCCTTGGGGTTTCTCATTCCAGGGACACCCAGTAACAGCTAGAAGAAGGCTAAGGGGCTCAAGGGGGTGGGCAGGACCACAGGCTACAAAAGACTTCAGAGCATTATAAAGAACTGTGCGAAAGGGCTGGAGAGATGGCTCAGTGGTTAAAGCACTTGCTGCTCTTGCAGAGGACTTGGGTTCAATTCCCAGCACCCACAAGGCAGCTCAAAGCAACTCCAGCACTTAGGAATCTGATGCACTCTTCCGGTCTCCAGAGGCACCATCACTCATGTACAGGGTACAAAACATGCACTCAGACCCACACACATACCCACAAAACAAAAAGGACAGTGCAAAGTACTGTGAAGGTGAGGGACAGCAGAGAGCTGTGGACAGCGAAGGTGAGGGACGGCAGAGAGAGAGCTGGGGACAGCTGGAAGGCTTCCAAAGTGCTGCCAAGTCACTAACTCTGGCTACCCAACACCCCAAGCTCAGGGCTGTAACACTAGATGCTGGGTCACGGGCATGTAAAGCCCAGAGCGGTAATAACACTAACAGCAGAGAGGGCCGTGACACCACAGACTCAGAACTGTTGACACTCAGGGAGCTAGCTGCACTTTGTACCTTCGTCATTTCTACGTCAACAGAGCAGCTGAAGAAACAAAAAACAAAGACAAAAAAAAAAAAAATCATACAAAATCACCTATTTAACATGTTTCATCTGTACCATGAAATATAAGCTTCACGTTGACTTGGTTGCATCTCAACATGTGCAAGTACTACAGAATCTGAAAGATCTCCCTCCTAAGCATTTCAGGCAGAGAATTCTGAGTCTATACTCGACTTTCTTCTTGCATTTTCATGATGTTGTTCCGATAGGGGAAAAAAATGCCTGTAATCCCAGTACTCGGGAGATGGCGGCAGGAGGAGTTTTAGTTAGCTAGATCCACACCCGACACCCATGGGGGATAGCTCCACTGGCTGGCATGTGCTCAGGTCCCTTAGACACTGGTGTGGGGCTGAGGACATGGCTCAGCGGCACAGCGCTGCCTAGCACACACAAGGTCCTGGGTTCAACCCCCAGAACCGCAAACCAACAAAAGCCACTGAAAATCCCCTTTCTATTCTTACAGTAACGAACACAAGGTAAACTACCAGCAGGTTATTCAGGGGCTAACAAGGAAGAAGGCTATACATATTCAGAAGAGACAGCTTTCTACTTTCTACTCCAAATAACTTTTGTCCACACTTGAGAGATATGGAGAGCTAAAAAGCCAAATGCAGCACATTGATTGCAGCCTAATCTTTCCTGGCACACGATCCCAAAACTGCCTGACCACTAAAGTAGATGTATTTTGTACAATAATATAATATAATAATAATAATATGTCTCAAGATAGAGGGTAGCTACCATGGAAACCAGTGATGTGATTAAAGGGCTACATTCAGTCTTAGACCAGACCTCCAAGGAGGGAACAGATGCCAGAGGTCAGGCTGACCATCAAAGGCCAATCCACAAAAGATAAAAAAAAAAGGACTGGGTCCATGGAGCTTCTGGTTGGCTGAGCACAAATGGAGGTTCCTGGAGAGTGGTTTTAGAGGCACCGAGGCCTCACGTCTCCTCCCACAAATCCTGCTATATACCCGCCTCTTCACCTGTTCTGTGTCCTCCATAATGTCTCTTAAAATAAATCAATCCGCATAAATCAAGCATTTTCCTGAGTTCCATGAGCCACTCCTTACCAAATGAAATCAAGAAGGGAATGTGGGAACTCAATTTGCAGCCTGTAGGCCCTAAGTGCTCAGGGCCTAGACTTGGAGTGGGCATCCGAACTGAGCAGTAGTCTCATGAGAACGAGCTCTCCGCTCTCCACCAACTGACTATCTTAAAACCCCACATGGCTGGGCGGTGGTGGCGCACGCCTTTAATCCTAGCACTTGGGAGGCAGAAGCAGATGGATCTCTGTGGGTTTAAGGCCAGCCTGTCTATAGAGTGAGTTTTAGGACAGGTTCCAAGGCTACACAAAGAAATCCTGCCTCAAAAGACCAAAAAAAAGAAGGAAAGAAAGAAAAGAAAGAAAAGAGAGAGAGAGAGAGAGAGAGAGAGAGAGAGAGAGAGAGAGAGAAAGAAAGAAAGAAAGAAAGAAAGAAAGAAAGAAAGAAAGAAAGAAAGAAAGAAAGAAAGAAAGGAAATGTCTGGCCGGGCGG